TGGTTATATTTGATGTGGGATGTCCTTCTGTATATATGTTTCTCTTTTTGGTTGATGGATAAAATACTGTTTGGGCAACGAGGCAGGAGGATAGGCGGGACCAGGAGATGAGGAGAATTCTGGGAAAGGCAGCAGAGGGAGCCTGTCAGAAGGACATCATGTAGGCTGCCAAAGGAGTAACAGGTCCTGACCTTCTCTGGTAAGATAAGACCATGTGGAAATTCTTAATAGAAATGAGTTTAATAATTAAGACTGAACTGGCCATTAAGAAGCCCTAGCCATCAGTTTAATAATATAAGTCTCTGTGTGTTCATTTGGGGCTAATGCGGCAGGACCTGGCAGAACTAGAGAAAATCCAGCAACATTTATTGGTTCAGAAGAAATATACTTCAGCTTCCTCATGGTGCTTCTATACTAGTGCTTATAACACTAAAGAGTTGGAACATCGGCTCCCACTGACCAGGAAAGGGCAAGTGATACCTCTTGCTTCCTCTAGGGAGCTGGTATGCCTTGTTGAGCACTCACAGAAAGTCTCAGGTAATTTCAACTTCTCATTGTCTCCGTGTCCCAGAGTCATCAGTGGAGAGAATGAGCAGGAAGTATTTTCAACGAGTATTTGCTAGTAGCCTGGGGTACTCTGGGTTCCCTGTTGGTGGCAAAGGATTTAGGATAAAAAAAAAGAGGGGTGTCTGGACATAGGTGTGGCTGCCTTTAATTCTAGTACTTGAGAGGTCAGATCTGTGAGTTCAAGTCCAGCCTGGTCCACATAGCAAGTTCTAGGTCAGCTAGTGAAAAAATAGTCAGAGATTATGGCAGTCACAGGATCCATAGATAAGAGCTTGGGTGAGAAGAGCTATTAATGGAAAAGTCCTGAAGAGGCCACACTATGTTAAGACCTGAGGGAAGTCATGTTGGCTCAGACAGGGGAGAGACTTATGTAAAGAGGAAAAGAAATGGCACTAAAGATATCCTATGTAGCAGAAATACTCAGAAAACAAAATGAACGTTTTGTAAACCTACTTTCCCTTTATTGGCAACACTTAAAATGTCCCACTTTCATTTAACTATGCCTCCACTAAAGCCATCAGCCTGTCTATATGTTTAACCCAGAACGTATCCTATTCCATTGTTCTGGGATCTAAAATTTGCTGTCTTAAACCTGGAACCATTTATTTATTCAGAGTCTCTGTTTCTCTCTCTCTCTCTCTCTCTCTCTCTCTCTCTCTCTCTCTCTCTCTCTGTTTGTCTCTGTCTCTCTCTGTATGCATATGGAGACTAGAGGCCAACTCCAGGTATCTTTCTAAATGTCACCTACCTTCTCTTTTAAGACAGTCTGGCCTTGGCCTGGAACTCACACATCAGGCTGGCTGGCCACCACAGCCCCTGAGATCTGTCCATCTACTCCTTGGTGCTGGGATTACAAGCAGGTACCACCATGCCCAGCTGTTTTACTTGGTTTCCAGGGATAAAACTCAGGTTCTCATGCATATATGGCAAAAAATACAAACCGAGTTTCCTTGCTAGCTCACTCCTGCCTATTTTGAATGGTAGATTTTGATAGAGTCTGGGCTCACTACTGTTGCTTTTGTTATTTAAAACTTTCCAGTGGACCCAGCTGAGATCTCTTCTTATAGACCCATGGTGGATGAGTTCATGTGTTACCCACAATGCTCTTATACTGTCTTGTCCTGTGGCACACAGACTTGGATTATTGGGACATGTGGAGTCATGATACAGCAGCACCACCAACAGGATAGATTGCCAACAACAAGTTTAAGCATCCCTGTTGGAATCTTTCCGAATCTAGGGACTATCCAAGCAGGGAAGCATGCCAGAATCACCAGGCTGAGGTAAGTCACCTGGACACCTGGAATTGTTCATTTCCATGGTTCTGCCACAACAGGCTCCACAATTTATTTATTTGCTTATGTCTTTATGGATTCATTGGTTAATTGAGACAGGGTCTCATTTTGCCCTGGCTGGCCTGGAACTTGCTAAGTAGGCCATGCTGGTTTCAAATTCAGAGATCCATTTACCTCTGCAGCATGAGCACTGGGATAAAAGTTGTACATCCCGCCCAGCTTCTGCAGGACTGTTCAGATTTGCTCTTTCCAAACTTGGCATCCCTAAACAACTGTGCTCAATATTCAGATGATTTTTAGGTCACACACAAAAAACAAGTGTCCAAATACCAAACACTGCCTTCAATCTATTCTTCCTCCTAAACCTCCCTTTTCCCTTTTCCCCTTTGGATAATCTTTTAAAAAAGTTATAGCCTATTTTTCTATTTCTTCTCTTAGTAACAGCACATAAATAGTATACCACGTCCCTGTGTAGACAGAACCCTGCATCTTAGGACATCCATACTGCAGTGCATCCTGGGAATACAGCTATCCTATGAATAGGCAGGTGAGGTGTTTACAGTGTTCCTCAATGCTAAACACTAATGCAGTGAATCCCCTCAAGTGTACTGGATTTTTGTTATTCTTCTTTTGGGGAAGATTCCTAGAACCAACACTCAAACATGAAACAATACATGCATTTATAGTTCTGTAGACTGCTGACTAAGTCCTCTTGAGAGCAGTGGAATATTTTATATTCTTGCCAGGAATGCCTGAGGAAGGCTGTCATTGGTAGATGGCATGTGCCACACTTGTGGATTTTTGTGTCAAATGGGTGTGGTATTTTAGTCCCCTCTAGGTTTACTGTATGTTTTCTTCTTGTAACTTGAGTGGATCACCCTTTCTTATGACCAAAAGCTATTTTTAGTTGTTTTCCTAAGGAATGCCCTGTCCATATTCCTGCCTATCTTTCTATTATGAGTGGTTCAAAGGTTCAGCTCCAGAAAAATGCAAATTCTCATACCCCAAGCCAAGCCCAGTGAAGCAGGAATTCTGGGGCCAGGGCTTAGTGATCACAGTTTTCTAAGCACTACTGATGGCTGTGGTACACTCAAGATTAAGAAGTCTTTGTCTATAGGGTTGATGCAATAGCCATAGTCAAGATGTTAAGACCACTGGCTGCTCTTCCAGGAGACACAGGTTCAATTCCCAACACAAGGTGGCTCAAGGCCATCTTGTAACTACAACAACAAGGAAACATCAACCATATTATTGTCTAATTGCCTTCTAGTTTGAGTAAGGCCAAGCTTCGAATACTGCATATTCTTTCACTGATCAACCATTAACTAAAGGATGTTAGGTGCCTACAATGACCCAGGCATGGAGCCAGGCAATAGAGACACTGTATTTAACACATACCTTACTCTCACCCAAAGAACAAGACTAAAGGATGCAACTTAAATCCCATCAAAGGGAACCATGAGGTGCTGTTACAGCACAGAGATTCATCTAGGAGAGGTCAGGGAGATAAAATTGAAATGATCTTGACAAAACACTCTTTCCCCTTCCTTGGGAACCAAAGGTTTAGAATACAACACTGTATTCCCACCCAAGTGGACCAAAGGTTTAGAATGGTCTGGACTTTGGGAGAGCTGAATAGACATAATGGGGTACATTGGAGATGACACCCAAGTCTAAACACCAAGTTCACACATGTGTGACACAGACTGAATGCACATAGTCTTGAGGTAATTTTACACAATAGTTGTTAGTATGCCCATATGTGGAATATCACCTACAAGATGAGGGCAACTGTGTAATTCTTCTACTTTTGCAATGGTATTCATAGTCAAATACCTTCAGATTTTGCAATAGTTTTAACTTTCAGTATCTAGATAAGGGCTATTCAGTGTCTTTGTTTGCTTTCTATGACTAAAAGCAACTTGGAGAGGAAAGGGTTTACTTCATCTTGCAGACTGTAGCTCTTCATTGAAGAGAAGTCAAGGCAGGAACTGAAGCAGAGGCCACAGAAGAATGCTGCCTACTGGCTTGCTTCCCATGCTTGTTAAGCCTGCTTTCTTATGTAATCTGCGACCACAGGCCCAGAGCTGGGCACTGTCCATGTGGGCCAGACCCTCTCACATCAACCGTTAACCAAGAAAACGCCCCAAGGCCTGTCTATAAGCAATCTGGTGAGGACATTTTCTCAATCAGCATTCTTCTTCCCAGGTGACTCTAGCTTGTGTCAAGGTGGCAAAAGAATAACACCAACAAAAGCCTAACCAGGTCTCTCAGCTTGTGATGCCATCCCGCTTTTAAGAACTCATAACCCCGTATGTGTTTATGTGTGTACAATGGTAGATATATGGCTATAATCACAGAAGAAAAACAGGGAGGAAAAAAGCACTGATCCGAATGGGCCCTCTGCAGTGGATCCGGGCTCAGCATCCATTCTGTCCTCCACAGTGCCAACAACGGAAAACTAAGAACCACATACACAGATATTGCCGGAGGGGAACTGGTTCCTTGTGTGAGACATGGAGGAGGAAAGCAAGATGGAGCCAAACACGGGCCACCTGGGCAGTGTCTGGCCACATATGGCGTCTCTAGAATCCCTGCACACACGTGGGGACATGGCCAGACAGGTTGTCTGCACTGCCCTAATGGAGCCAGTCACAGACACAACTCAGGCTCCGGAGCCACCACTGTGGCTTTAAACTGCCAATCTGCTGGGGCCCGCCCACTTCTGTGGGTTTAAGTGGACAGCCAACAGAGGGCAGCAGTGCCCCATTGAGTTCCGAGGCCCAGCCTGAGCTAGCCCCAAAGCCCTTCAAATGGGTTCCAGAGCAAAGATTTCCTTCCCCTTAGCCAAGTGTCAGTCTTCTTAAAAATAGCTTGGCTGTTGCTTTCTGAAACCAAGATGGCGTCATTCAGAGGCTTACCAGACAGGGCGAGGAGTGAGAGGTTTTTGTGAGAGTTTAAACACGTGACTATGTTGAAGGGCTTTGAAAACAGATGTATTATCATTAACTTGGAATGACCTTAACACCCATCCGTCATCTCTTCTAAGCGGCTGGTGTACATGGGGCTTTCAAAGACTTCGTATTTATGCACAAAGGGCACTCTACTGTGATGCCCATGGGAAGCAGAAGGTCTTACCAGCAGGCATAGAAGTGGATTTTGGTGCCGGAAGTAAACTCCTACGTGGTGTTGCTACATTGGAGGAAGGTGCAGGGGCAGCCCGGCCTGCTCCCTTGGGTGTGTCCTTAGAAGGCAGAGCTGGCTTCAGAGGTGGCTGCTCTTCATTCCCAAAGGCTGAACCTGTGGGAGGCAGATAGCGTGTTAATTATAACTTCATGAAAAATGGATGGACCCACTTGCCATCCAGGCTCGCCAGCCAATCCTTAGGCTGCCATCTGCGTTAGACAAGACTTTCAACGGGTGACCTTGAAAAGCAACCACCTGGAAATGGATGTGGAAAAGCTATCCCTTTAGTCGGGACTTACATATCTGTCATTCAGAGCCTCCCCCCCCCCCACTGGCAACGAAGGGAGCTACACCAACTGTACGCCCATGTGCACAATACATGCTTTGCTTACATGTATGTATAACAGTATGCCACTATAAGCATCAACGGGGGAGCTTGTGGGGGGGCAGTGCTCTTCTGAAATAGAGTGTGATGGAGGAGAACAGAGAAAAAACCCCACACACACACAGAGGCATCCGTGGTTCCCAGACCCCTTGTGGACATCAACACCTGGTGAGAGACGGTCAAGTTCTTTGAGTAAAATGACATAGTGTTTGCATACATCCTATAGAAGCTCCTGTGTTCTTTAAATCATGCCCAGAACTTTGGTAATACCTACATATTAATAATACGACATAAATGCTATTCAGAGGGTCGTCACAGCCAAGGTCTGGAGAGTAATGACAAGGGCTGTTTGGGGGGATTTGACACAGATACAGTTTTTAGCCGATGTAGTTTTGCTCTGCATTTGGTTAATCCACGGATGTAGAACCTATGGAGATACCCAGTGATGGGTGTTACAGACATGTCTCCCTGACCAAGGAAACCTTTCCAGGACCTGGGGGAGAGGAGGCCTGGGGTGGATGTGGGGAGAAGAGAGGAGGCCTGGGATGGGGAGAGGAGGAGGGAGGAGCAGAAACAGAAATCTTTGGGATGTGTAGGGGCATTTGGTCTAAAGATTAAGAGCTCCTTGAATTGCTGCTTCCTTTATTTATTTTTATTGAAAACATTTAAATTTTATGGGTGTTTTGTTGCTTGTACATTTGCATACCACATGTATGCGGTACACATAGGGAAAGGGCATCAGAACCCTCTGAGATTGGAATTACAGATGGATTTGTGAGCCACCAGTGAGTGCTGGGAATTAAACTTCCGTCCTCTAGAAGAGCAGCCAGGGCTCTTAACCACTGAGCCATCTGTCCAGCCCTGGCTTTACTTGTTTAGAAGGCAGAAGAGATGGGTGGGGAGCTGCAGTTTACTGCTCTGAACAGGAACAGTCTCTCTGCTCCTAGGACAGTTGACCACAATAGATTGCTCTGATGCTCTGAGGATGCAGGAAACTGGATTGTCAGCTTTCATCAGAGTTCAATAGAAAGAGTGTGGCCTGAACGTTCCTCTTGCATCTTCTGAAACTTTGGGAGGTTTATGTATGTGACCTCTAAAGACAACAATGGAGTTTCCTTACTAGAGAAGTCTCCCAGATACCCCTCTGGAAGGAGGTCTGGGGTGTCATCTGCTAACTGCCAGAGGCTGATCAGCACGCCAGGGGACACACCCACCCCTTTGTAGGATCAGAACTGTGGACTGTGAGACTCAAGCGATGACAGCTGGAAGAAGCACAAGGCACTGGAGAGAGAGGCTAAATTTGTTTCCCCCACTTCGATAGGAGGGTCACAATATCTCATTTCTATTGGCCTGCAGAAAAATGACGGCATTGTTAAAATGGCCTCAACATTCACGCTATTTTTCATTCAACTACGTGGAGTATGAGATTGTTGCTTTTCTCCCCAGGGAGACACGAGGGTCTCCTCAAAGTTGGTGAGACTTGTGTTGTTCTCCCGGGGGAAAAAAAGCTGCTTTAAGAACAACAAATAAAAGAACTCGCTATTGCTCGAAGCAGCTGGTATCACACAATTCTCTTTGGTCACTGTACATGGCTGTAAATAGTACTAAACGCAGCTTGTGGGACCCCACAAGCCCAGAAGAAGCACCCAAACGCCACAGAACAGGGTCTGTGGAGCTGGTATCAGACAAAGAAGCAGGCAGAGCATGACGTCCAGGTGGGGTTTGGGGGAGCAGCATGGAGAGTCAGCAGGAGGAAAAGACAGAGTGGGCCCAGAATTAAAGAGCAACCGGCCCATCAGTCAGCGCCTGAATTCAGAGACATTCTAAGCATTTGTGGGGCTGTTTCCAAGGTAAGAGGAGGCTCAGCCGCCAGAAATGCTTCACAGGGAATCAGCTGACGTGTAGCCTGCTGCAACGATCATCTTCTATTCAATGAAACGTGCGGCTGAAACTGAATTGAGTGCACTTGTCATCACACAGTCTTTTATTTAACAATTTATCAAACGTTTCTTAAGACCAGAAATATTTTTTGGTAGCATTTGCAGAGTTCAAAAGCCCTGTTATCAAATCCTCTAGCATCTGGCATCATGCTGTTACATGCAATTTATTCAGTGAACATGTCAATTTAGCGACTTGGCTGCCTTCCAGGATGGGAAGGACTTGCTCTGCACATCAGGAAGCTATCCACACATCTCCCTCTGAAACCAGGCCCCTAGCACCCCAAAAAGAAGAAAAGTATAAAAATGTAATTCCATCCACCATTGGTATGATACAGCTGGCAACAAACAGGCCCACTCTTTGAAAACTGGCTTCCGTTGGCCATTCATTAAAGATGTACATTCAGGAAGAGAAAAGCATTCTGAATTTGGAGGCAGTCACTGAAGCCTCTGAATGCCTGAGCATCAAGTTCTTGCTAGGGAAGAGTAAAACAAAACAAAGAAAACAAACTACAAATGTGCAGGAGAATTCAGGCAGCTAGCAGTGACAGGTCCCTTTAGTCATCTCATTCCTGGCAAACTCCCACCTGCTCTGGCCTGGACTTTGCAGGCAGTTTAACCCCCTTTTCCCCTCACCACAGGACAACAAGATCACCAGCCAGGTGCAGATATGGGAGATGTCCAAGGCCAAGGCATCACCACTCACACCTGCTCCATCCTTGCACGGGCTTCTTCATTCATAAGGGGCACGAGAAAATGGACTTTATAGACTACTGTGAGAATTGAAAGTGAATGCCAGGGGAGTTTTAAGTTGGTGCAGGGGTCTGGAAAGATGTGTCGGTAGTTAAGAGCTCTTGCAGAAGCCCAGGGTTCAGTTTCCAGCACCCGTATGGGCACTCTCAACTGCTGGTAATTCTAGTTCCAGGAGAACAGATGCCCTCTTCTGGCATTCTTGGGTACTAGGTACCCACATGGTATATGTACACAGATGCAGACAAACCCTCACACATAAAATAAGAAAATTACAAATTAAAGTTCTTGCAGGAGTTAGTGCAAGACAACACATTTCTGCCTGGCACACTGTATGCTCCTATGTGTTAGTTATTAGCTTGCATGCTGGCTTTAATTTCTACAGCTGGTCATTTAAATAAATCCACTTATCCAAGGAACTTGAGAAGTCTTCAAAGATTAATACCACATGGCTTTCAGTACATGGAAAGAAAAACGGGTAACAGTGAGGGAAATCCAATAATGCTGTCAGGATGAAAGGCTAAAGAGAAAATGGGATACAATTACTTTAATAAAATATGATAAACCATTTTACACAGAAAATGGGGGGGAATAATAACAAAGTGGACCGCCAGTTCTGAGGAAGACGAGACAGTATAGACCTCATTACTAGTGAAATGCACTGGGCAGAAGGTGCCATGCTCAGCTGCCCTAAGCACCCACACATGCTTTCCACATTACTCTTAGGGGTTCACCTCCCAGGCAGCTTACCCCAGTTCTCTGTATGTGGCAGGGGACAATCTTTTGTTGGCTACATATTTTCAATATTAATTGGTTTCTCATGAAAAGCTGACACATTTTTTCATAGAGCTTCACAAGCAGAGTCTGTGAAAAAAAAAAATGATGGTCCAAGCCTAGGCAAGACACATTTTTAAAAGATCGTATTTAATTTTCCTTTTTCGTGGATGGGTGTTTTGCCTGCAAGTATATTCATGCAGTGCTCCTGGAGGCCAGGAGAGGGCACTGGATCCTCTGGAACTGGGGTTGCAGATGTTTGAAAGCTGCCATGTGGGTGCTGGGAATGGAATCAGATCCTCTGCAAGAGCAGCCAGTGCTCTAACTGCCGACCTGTCCCTCCAGGCCCAGCAAGACAAATTTTAAAGTAAGAATATCAAAGGTGTGTGTGTGTGGGGGGCTCATCTTGTATCTTACACAGGAGTGAACACCTGTGGCTTCAAGATAAGAAAACCACAAAATAGAACAGCTCAGTGACAAAACTTAAGATAGCAGAGAGTAGATAGTCAGGCCTTTCCCTTTAGTCCTGGACATAAACTAAACTGCATTCTCCATCCTCTTTGCTGGCCCCTGTGGTTGAATTCTAGCAAATGGGCTGAAGGCCATAAATGATGACACTCTGCCTCAGGCATGGTTCATATATTCCTCCCATGAACAATTTGTTATGCCCCATCTACCAGCTGAATGTCTTTTGAGCATTCACAAGCCTTTTGTTAGATGACTCAGAATTCAAGTAGTCAACCCCAGGCCTTGATGTGCATGTGTGCCCACACACATGCAAACATGCATATATAGACATGCCCATCAAACACATGGGAAAGAAGAAAAATATAGACGAATTAGGCATAATAAAACTTCTGTGTTTTAAAAACATTAATACTAACAAAATAAAAAGACAACCTATAGAATTGAAGGTCAGCTGAAGGTCTAGTATACATAATATACACTTATAAACTGAGCCATAAAAGACATTCAATTTAATTTAAAAATGAGCACAGATTTTAAACAGACATGTCTCCAAAGAAGACATGTAAACAGGCAACCATCACACAAAAGAGGACACAATAGCCACTGGGGAAAGGCAGGGCCAGTCACAACAAGGCATCAGTGTTCATTATTAGCATGGGGGCAATGGCTCAGTCAGCAAAAAGCTGGCAAAAAGTTGAGTTCAGATCCAGTGTAGCATGTGTCTGTAATCCAAGGAAGGGAAGTTGGG